GTTCTCTGCTGTGGCCTGCCCGTCCTGGGTGGCCTTCCATGGCATAGCCCACAGCCTCACTGAACCACACAAGCCGCCTCGCTGCATCAAGGGTAAGTGGAAATTGGATTCTGGAAATTGTGTGAGGACAGCACCCTAGCATTCTGTGGAAATGCATAAATGAGCTGTAATGAAAAACATTAAGAATTGTAACTGACTCAAAAGGTTTATTGAGGATCCATATGTATTAGATCAGGAGCGTTTGATAGCCAGACTAGCCTAAGCTCAACAACTAAGAAGGGTCACCCATGGTTAATACCTAAATGGAAGACCACCAAAGAAGATCTGGGTTGCAATGCAGGGGAAGGCATTGGCAAACCACCTCTGCTCACCTTTTGCCTTCAAAATCCCATGAGGGGTCACCATGAGTCAGCTGTGACTTGAGGGTGCTTAATTGTTATAAATTACTTATTCTGCAGCTCACGTTTGCAACTGACAGCAACCAAAAAAAGCCACATGACTACTGTATGCCATTCCCTGCCCCACCCAACACATCTTCGGGGCATGGAGCAGGGGTCACTGGGGTGTGTGGGGGGAGGTCGTTGTGACTTTCCTGCATAGTGCAGGGAGTTGGACTAGATGGCTCTGGAGGTCCCTTCCAACTCTATGATGCTGTGAGTCTATATAATAATATGTAATTGTTTAAATTACTGGAGAATCTGAGTGAACGTAAGGTTGTCTCTTTTTTCTTCCTTTCTGTTGAATGTTAGCTGTCTGGAGAGAGGGGAAGGACCTTCCCTCTCTGCCTTCTTCCTGCTCTCTCCTCAGCATGAGGATGCTGGGTGAGAATGAGGTTGCCAGGGTGCCCAGAGGAGGAACAGCTGGCTGTGGAGAAAGGGGAGTACCACCTCACTATGGCCAGCTTGCTCTTTTCCTGGGTAGCTGCTGTGGTTGAGGTGGCTGTACTCTCTGTGGTCTGCTTGCTCTCCTGTCAGCAGCTGCCCAGGAGTTAGGATGGGAGTGCAGGGGCAGTAAAGAAGGGTGGGGGGTTGTTGGAGGGAATGGGCCTTTCCTTCCATCCCTGGAATGAGGCCCACAGCTCACCTGTCCTCCAGTCCCCCCAGCAGGGGCAGCTTTGAGGTAGGAATCTCCTGCCAGCCACATAATGACCTCGCAGACCTCTGTGGAACATGGGGAGTGTGCCACACTGGGGAAGAGCCACAGGCAGCATGTCAAACAGCCACATGTGGCTCTAGAGAGCCACTGAATGAATATCACTGTATTAAATTGACTTATTAGTAGCCTTTGTTTGTACTTACTGCCGACCTTCTTCTCTCCCACTCATGTCCTCTGGGGAGAGTAAGGAAAATCTCTTATTGGGCCTGATATTTGGAGATGGCAAGGAGCAGTGTGCAAGATTTCCTGATTTTTCTTACTGTGACAGGCCTTTTCTACTAACTGAGTGGACCCACACAGCCTCCTATGATTTTGGGGAACCAGGTTTGTTTTAAAGTGTAAACCTTCCCCTCTGTTACCAGGTGTTCTTAAGGTAGCAAGTGAAAGACCTTGGGTTCACTGCTGTGAGTTAAGTTTTGTGGTGAGCAAGCTGAACATGGAGATCACTGAGGTTGCCAGATTCAGGTTGGGAAATTCCTGGCGATTTGGGGTAGAGCATGGGGCGAGGGGAGAGACCTCAGGAGGTATAATACCATAAAGTCCATCCTCCAAAGCAGCCATTTTTTCCAAGGGAACTGATCTCTGTCATCTGGAGATCAGTTGTAATTCTAGCAGTTCTCTAGGCCCCACCTGGAGTTTGGCAATCCTAATAAATAGCAAAGAAGATTTATTTAGTTACAGGTTGGCTTCAAAGAACAGATCAGCAGTACAGGTCTATAGGTAGTCAAAGGAGAAAGCTGGCTGAGGCACATAAATTTAAACTAGTTATGGCTTCAGAGTGTGGTTTTAATTTTCTTTAATGCTTTCAGATACAAACCCAACTTTTTACTGACTACCCACTAGGCTGGATCCTCTCACACACACAGGATTCCACCCACATCAACCTGCCATTTCCCAAGAGTCAGACTAAAGGGTACAAGGTCTGATATGACCAGAGACAGGCCTAACAACTGGATACTCTATTCTCTCCCAGACATAGGGTTAAACCACTTTGCCACACTACCAGACAGAGATACCCTTGAAACAGTTTGCTCTCTTGCTGCTGTTGTTGCTTAGTTGCACAGACGAGTCTGACTCTTCGCGACCCCATGAACCACATCACACCAGGCCCTCCTATCTTCTGCCGTCCTCTGGAGTTTGCTTAATTTCATGTTTGTTGCATCCATAACACTGTCTAACCATCTCATCCTTTGCCGTCCCCTTCTTCTTTTACCTTCAATCTTTCCCAGCATCAGGGTCTCCTCCAGTGAATGCTCCCTTCTCATTTGGTGGCCAAAGTATTTGAGCTTCAGCTTCCGTATCTGGCTTTCCAGGGAACAGTCAGGGTTGATTTCCTTTAGGATTGACTGATTTGATCTCCTTGCAGTCCAAGGGACTCTCAAGAGTCTTCTCCAACACCATAATTCAAAAGCATTTATTCTTCGGCTCTTGGCCTTCCTTATGGTCCAGCTCTCACAGACATACAGTACTACTGGGAATACCATTGCTTTGACCATACCAACTTTTGTTGACAGGGTGATGTCCCTGCTTTTTATTATGCTGTCTAGGTTTGCCACAGCTTTCCTCCCAAGGAGTAGCCAGTTTGGTGTAGTGAAATGCACGGACTCTAATCTGGGAGAACCGGGTTTGATTCCCCACTCCTCCACTCGCACCTGCTGGATGGCCTTGGGCAAGCCGTAGTTCTGGCACAGCTGTTCTTGAAAAAGAGCAGTTTCTGTCAGAGCTCTCTCAGCCCCACCTACCTCACAGGGTGTCTGTTGTGGGAAGGAGAAGGGAAAGGAGTTTGTAAGCCACTCTGAGACTCCCTTGGTTAGTAAAGGGCGGCGTATAAATCCAATCTCTTCTCTTCTTCTTAATTTCTCTTGCTGAGGCAGACCCAAACTATGGAACTAACTCCTGGTGTGCTTCCTTCTAACATTCCATCCCCCTTCTGAATGAGGCTCTGCTGAGTGGCTGTTTTCCCCCTCAAGGGCAGGACAGCCTCCTGTCTGACACCCTTACCTTCTCTAAACCTGAATCAAAGTTAGAGCTTTGGAGGAGGTATATGTGTTGCCAGTCACGCTTGTTACCAAAAGGTCTGTGGCACTTATTTTTGGCAAGCTGACAAATGGATTTGTGGATTGTATTTATTTCCAGAAGCTATACTTGAAGTAAACCTGTAGCTTGATGATTACATAAAGGGCCTCTTAATGCAGATAATATTTAAATAGATCATTCAGTGATGTTTCTGATGCAGGGTCCATAACAGTGAAGACAGATGTAAAGCATCTATCAGCAGTCAGAGCAGCTTTTTCACCTGTGGAGTGAACCTGGCTTTGCCATTTACCTCACACAGAGTAAATTTATTTTATTTACTTCCTTGACATCCTACCTTTCTCACAGAGACTCAAGGCGGATTATAAAAATAAAACAATAACAATACAATGAATAAGATAAATGCGAACAACACACATAGGCTGTTGAAATCTGGATTGGGTCTCAGTCTTGGTTTGAAGGGGAAAAATGTATTGCAAAGATTTATAAAGTGTTATTAAAATGGTACACTGAAGAAGAGACAGTCAAAGAGCAAATGATAAAGTGGGCGATAAATATGAATACAGAAATAACAATAAACTCTTGGGAGTATTTGTGGAAACATGCATTGAAAATATCTACATGTAATAATTTTAAGGAAAATTGTTATAAGATGTTGTATAGGTGGTACATGACACCCAAAAAAATTGCTAACATGAACACCAATATGTCAAGTAAATGTTGGAAATGTAAAAAAGGGGAAGGTTCTTTTTACCACATGTGGTGGACTTGTGAAAAAGCAAAGAATTTTTGGACTCAAATTCACGTAGAGATGGAAAAGATTGTGAAATGCACATTTAAAAGAGCCAGAATTTTTGCTTTTGGGACTCAAACTGGAAGAAGTTAATGTAGCCAAACGAACTTTGATGTGGTATACGGCAACAACGGCTAGAATTACTTATGCACAATGTTGGAAACAAGAAGAAGCTCCAAAGATTGAAGATTGGATGAAAAAATTGTTGTTTGCAGCTGAAATGGACAAAATGACAAGGAAATTAAACAATAAAGAAGCAGAAGAATTCTACAATGACTGGAAAGACTTAAAAGACTATCTAGAAAAATATTGGGATATAAAAGACAATTTGTTTTGTTTTGACAATTATTGATCAGAGAAGCATGTGAAAGTTACAATATGTAGACAAACATTTGTCATAATGAAATAAGAGTTACCTAGTGATCTAAAGAAAAGAATTTATAGAAAAAAGAAATAGAAGTAGAAAAACAGAAGGTCGAAGCACTGTGGGAAGCCATATATAAGAGGGGGGGAAAGGGAGGGGGCAGGATATGACAGGGATTAAGAAGGGAATGTACTGATGAAAGTAAAGGGGGAAAAACAGAGAAATGTTATGTTGAATGTTTATGTTTATATCCTGAATAAAAAATTTTGGTACAAAACAAAAAGATTGGGTCTCAGTCTTGCAGTTTCCCTTGTATGTAGACCAGGCATCATCTGCTTTTGTAAACTATATTTTAAAATGGCACATACACATTACGGAAATATATTTTCACCTTCTCTTCATCCCTCCGGCACCCCCAGCCCTAAGAGCTGGAGAAGTGCACTAGTGACACTAATAGGGGCCACCATGGTTATCTTTTTCCAGCATGTGAGAAACTTTCAGTGTTTTCTTCAGAGTTCACTTCAGAACATTAAAATGTACACTGCTGTCAGGGCGGCAAAGGCATTTTCAAACAACCTCCAATACACTTTTTTCTTTTTCCTAAGAGTCTGAATCATCAAAGGAAAACAAAGAAAGAAGAGTTGATATATTTACCTTTCAAAATTTCTATCACTTCATGGGATGCCTGACCGTTAAGGCACCCATATAAATGTTTTGCAGTCCCATTATTCTTTTCGGAATCCCTCCACTTTCGCAACATCTTGCATTTATACATATTAATGTCTTCCTCCTTTGCTTCAATCTGCTCAATATCTTCAATGGACAAGTTAAGACACTGAATGCCAATAACTTTCCAGTCTTTACCCATCTTCTTTGCAAGGATCATCAGTTGCTTATCAGTTAATACTGTTTTAGTTGTTGTTCCATCTGAAAAGGATGCAAAATCAAACTCAGTTCTGTGAATGTTGCTTTTGCTTATACCAAGCTAACAAGCTAGTGAAATATCCAAGGCATCTTTACTGAGGACACCTTAAAAGCAAGAACCATGTATCTTTTGGGGGGAACGTCATTCAGAATTGTGTATTTCTTTCATTTATTAGTGGTGCTATAGTGGTAATTACTGGAAGGCACATTGATGGCACAATATGTTCTATACTCTGCAACAATGTTACAGTACTGTTCTTTTCCCCTGCTTTTACCTAGGTGGCGGTCACAAGCGCGAAATAACGTGCGCGCGGGGGGGGGGAAGCAAGGCTATTTCCCCCGGAGGAATTGGACCCGCAGTTACGCAATCACAGTCCTTTGAAGCTGCGTGATCCGACACAACCGCAGGTGAGTCAGGTTGTGGGGTTTTTTGCCATTTGTTCCCAATGCGCTTAAATGGGGAATCGATGAATCACATCTCAGCACGAGGGCTCCCTATGGAGTGTGCGATGATGCCCAGACAAGAAGCATGGAGCAAAGTGGTAGCCATTTTAGGCAGAGATCAAAGAAGTTTTGTCACACACTTCAGAATGTTTGAAGGTTATCTCATTTCACATGATGCCTGATCTAATAGATTTATCAATCAATGCCCAGATGATAAGGCAATTTCCAATACTGCAATGCTATCTATTTCACAACTGAAACGGTTCTTCATTGGTGTAGGTCAGATCTTTGAGATAACAGTTCTGTATGGCATGAATATATAAGAACATTAAGAAGAGCCCTGCTCGATCAGCTCAGTGGTCCATCTAGTTCACCATGTGTGTTTTTTTTTTACATGTATTATTATAGTAAGTTTTGACAAGATTACTTTTTTGTTTTCAGAAATTTAAATCCGTGTCCTCCATCCACACACACATGCTGGTCTAGTCACCAACTGTCCTTGCAAGTTAAGAAAAAGCTTAAAAGAAACAACAGCAACACTTGGGTATTCAGTGTTAGGATACTTCTTACTGTATATTGTGAAAAAAGGGAAGCCCAGACAAGAAGCATGGAGCAAAGTGGTAGCTATTTTAGGCAGAGATCAAAGAAGTTTTGCCACACACTTCAGAATGTTTGAAGGTTATCTCATTTCACATGATGCCTGATCTAATAGGTTTATCAATCAATGCTCAGATGATCAGGCAATTTCCAATACTGCAATGCTATCTATTTCACAACTGAACCATACCTGGTGAGTCATTGATGTAGGTCAGATCTTTGAGATACATTTCTGTATGGCATGAATATATAAGAACATAAGAAGAGCCCTGTTCGATCTGCTCAGTGGTCCATCTAGTTCACCATCCTGTCTCACACAGTGGCCAACCAGTTCCTCTGGTGGGCCAACAAAAGAGCAAAAGGCCCAAGGCCTTCCCCTGACGTTGCCTCCTGGTTCTGGGATTCAGAGGTTGACTGCCTCTGAATGTGGAGGTTCCCTCCAGTCACCATGACTATTGGCACTGACCTATCCTCCATGAATCTATCTAACTCCCTTTAGTTGTCTATTCCTGTTGCCATCACTACATCATCTGGCAGCAAATTTTGCATTTTATTCACTCGCTGTGTAAAGAAATATTTCCTTTTCTTCATCCTGAATCTACTGCCCATCAGCTTCATTGGATGCTCTCAGGCTCTAGTATTTTGAGAGAGGGAGAAAAATTTCTCTTTGTCAACTCTCTCCACCCTATGCATAATTTATAAATGTCTATCAGGTCTCCCCTTAATCACCTCTTTTCTAAACTGAAAAGTCACAGACTCTTCAGCCTTTCATCACAAGGAAGGTGCCTCCAACCCCCTAAACATCTCAGTTGCCCTCTTGTGTACTTTTCCCAGCTCTGTGATGTCTTTTTTGGGACATAGTGACCAGAACTGTACACAGCATTCCAAATGAGGCTGCACCATAGATCTGTACAGGAGAATTATAATAACTGGCATTTTATTTTCAGTACCTTTCCTAATAATCCCTAACATAAAGTTTGCCTTTTTCACTGCTGCAGCACATTGGGTTGACACTTTCATTGAGCTATCCACTACAACCTCAAGATCTTTTCCCCTCTCAGTTTCAACAAGTTCAGAGCCCATTAGCCTATACTAGAAGGTGGGATTTCTTTGTCCCAATGTGCATCACCTTACACTTACCAACATTGAACTTCATTTGCCACACTGTCACCCCCTCACCCAATGTGTGGAGATCCTTTTGGAGCTCTTCACAGTCAGCCTTGGTTTTTACCATTGTGAATCATTTTGTGTCATCTGCAAACTTGGCCATTACACTATTCATCCCTAGTACCGACCTTCGATGCGGTGCCTTTGGTGCCAGCGCTGAGGGTCAGGAGTTTGGGAGTGCTCCTGGACGCCTCCTTAACAATGGAGGCCCAGGTAGCAGCCCACTGCCAAGTCAGCCTTTTACCATCTGCGGCTGATTAGGCAGTTGGTTCCCTTCCTTGAACGCAATGACCTGGACACAGTGATCCATGCTATGGTCACCTTGAGGTTAGACTACTGCAATGCTCTCTACATGGGGCTGCCCTTGTCTCAAATCCGGAAGCTGCAGCTGGTGCAAAATGCAGCAGCCAGACTGCTGATGGGTCTCTCCATATGAGATCACATCCAGCCTGTGCTGAAGGCATTGCACTGGCTGCCAATAGCATACCAGATTCATTTCAAGGTGCTGGTTTTGACCTTTACAGCTCTATATGGTCGGTGGCCTGCCTACCTGAGGGACTGCCTTTCCCCATATGTGCCCCAGAGAGCACTGAGGTCAGGGACACAAAATCGCCCGACTCTCCCTGGCTCAAAAGACACCAGATTGGCCACTATGAGGGCCAGGGTTTTTTCAGTGGTGGCTCCACACTGGTGGAATGAGCTCCCGGAGGACATCAGGGCCCTGTGGGACCTTTTACAGTTCCGCAGGGCCTGTAAAATGGAGCTCTTCCACCAGGCCTTTGATTAGGAGCCACCACTGATTAATGTACCATCGTACGTTAAATATGCCACAACCCTGTTATAACGTTGGATGGTCTTTTCTAACTGGATCATGTACAAGAAACTGCCGCCATCTGTTTGCACTGGTTGTACTAGCACTTTATGTAATTGTTTGATTATGAATTTTATAGTATATATTGATCTTATTGTATTTTGACTTATGTAAGCCGCGTTGAGCCAGTTTGTACTGGCAAGGCAGGGTATAAATTGGAAGTAAATAAATAAATAGTTCCAGATCACTGATGAATAAATTAAATAGTACCAGCCCCAAATACTGATCCTTGTGGGACCCCAGTGCTTACTTCCCTCCATTGTGAGAACTGTCTATTTATTCCTACTCTTTGCTTCCTGTCATTTAACCAATTTTTAATCCATAAGCGAACCCATCCTCTTATTCCATGATTGCTAAATTTACACAAGAGTCTTTGGTGAGGAGTCATTGCAATACATTTTATCTCATAATTATTTTAATTGGTATTTATTTCTAAAAAGTATGGATACAACTGAGCAGTGCCATACAAAGTGTGAAAGCTCAGCCTATGGAGAAGGACACTTCCCAGCACCTGTTGTCACAGAAGACGGTAAGAGCGAAATACTTTTTTCAGGGTTCCAAATACGCTCTTAATAGGATTTTTAAAATGAGGGTTAAAAAGTTTTATAATTGCAAGAACCAAGCACAAGTGAAGCTGTTGGACTTGTAGGGCAAGTTCTTTGCTCCATTTTAGTTGCATGTGATCCAATTGCAGCTAAAAGGATTTTTTTACATATATGCAACACAGAAAGGTATTTGCCAGCTGCCATGGCGTAATCCCATGTAACAACTGAAAAATGCCTGTGTGATCTTTTGTGGTAACAGTATCTGGGTCAAATTTGGCAAGGCAAATCTGAGATCGAAATTAGTTGGAAAAGAGTCACCAATCCATGGAAAAGTCATGGGTTTCTGACTCACTCCCAATTTATGACTGGCTAGGTGACCGTGACAGCAGAAGCTGCTGTGTTCTCTCTGGTGGGTGGAATGGGCAGTTTCATAAAGAAACTGAGTGGCGTGTAAATGATGTAGCAAGAATGTTAGGCCAAAATCCCCAGGAATTCCTCGTTCATGTACTTTGAACTTTATCAGCAGCCACTAGTTATAGTAGCTAAATGGAACCTCCATGTCAGATGCAGTATATGTGTGAATTCCAGGTGTTGGGGACAGTGGGAGACACTGTTGACTTCACACTCACAGCCTGATCTAGAAAGGCTCTTCATAATGTTCTTAGGATGGAAGGGACCCTAGGACAATAATTTCCCAAACTATACAAATAAGCCTTCAACTCTGAACAAGGTGTAAGAAGTGGTGGGAAATGGCTTACTGTTCTCATTATTTCTTACATTTATATTCCACTTCTTGTACAAAAACAACAAAGCTGCTGGATGAAGTTAAGTATAGGCAACTTCGTGCATTAAATACAAAGGTAGACAGATACACAGAGGAATTTCTGCACTTCATTGGGAAGGATTTCCTCTCTATTTGTTAAGATGATGAAGGCATGGAAAGAGGAGGCATAAGTCGCCTGCATATCAGCCGTTGATGCTTCTTTGCAGTATGAAAAGCCATTCTGTGATTATCATGGTTATTTGGAAAATGTGCACATTTTAGTTCTGTCTACGATATATAACATCTCGTTAGCCAAACAATATTCTGAATTTTCACAGTGCCTCCTGATTTGGTTTATCTCTATCTAAATGTACCGGTACTTGTATCCCTACGTAAATGTATTTGTACATATTTCTGATTATCCAGCTTTCCAGGTAGAATCAAATTTCTGCATCAAGTTACATATAACCTTTTATCTGTGCCTACACTAACCAGGGCCTCAACGTCTAACAGGTCAGGCTGTATGAAGTTATGGCTTGCTCCTGGCCTTTGCTTCTGATAACTCCCTATTTCATATTCTAAGGATGCAAACCTCTGGATACCAATGGTAGGAAGCAAAAAAAGAGGAATGGGCTTGGCCTCTGTGCCCTGTTAACTGCCCCTCCAGGGAAACTGGCCGTTTGCTGTGTGAAACAGGATACTGGATCTTCCAATCATTCTTCTGTTTTATGCAATAAGGCACATGTGTTCTTGTAATAATTAGCTATGCAGATCATGTGCTTTATTACTCAACTAATCTGAGCCAGTGTAGTGTAGTGTGTTGGGCTAGGCACAAGGAATCTTGGTTTCAAATCAAACCTGAGCCACAAGCTTGAAGCATGACCTTGGGCCAATTAGACCGATTCCGCAAAAGCAGCTGTTTGTGACCTCGATCTCCCGTTTCCCCCGGTTGTATTGCTCAATTTCCCACTATTTGCTGTGTGGCCACATTTTGACCTGCATCTCCCCCCCGATTTCCCCTATGTCTTCTTGATCCTTATTTTTTAGGATCAAGATGACGTGGGGGAAATCGGGGGGAGATGCGGGTCAAAATGCAGCCCCGCAGCCAATACTGGGAAATTGAGCACTACAACCAGGGAAAACGAGAGATCGAAGGCACAACAACTGCTTTTGAGGAATCGGTTTTAGTCTCTCCTGGCCTAACCTTCCTGACAAGGTGATCATTCAGATAAAATGGAGAAAGGAAAGGAGAACCATGCATGCCCTTGGCTTTTTGGAAGAAGGTCAAGATAATAACGGAATAAATATTACTGTTCCCAGTAATAGAGTAGAGTCTCTTTTCTAAAAGACGTCTTCATCGAGTAAGAAACTTAGCAATGTAGAGGTTTGGGAATATAGGCTGTTGGGTGGAGCAATGCAAGTACTTCACTGACTATTGGGAGGAGTGTGCGTAGTTAGGAACTGTCTATACACTTGGTAGGCTAGGAGTATGAGGCCTGGCCATTTTTGAACTGGGAGACAGGGGGTGGGCAGCTTTTCAGAAGCTCCTGCGTTTGCTCAAAGTCACTGCTTTCTTACTGAAAGGTCTCCGCTAAAGAAGCAACAGGCAGCATCTATGAAGAAAGCAAGTTTCATTGAACTCACATTCAGGACTTTGTTGCTGAACTGTTTCTGTTGAATGCTGACCTGAGTTTTGTCCAGTACGCACTCCCTCTCCTAGCCTGTCTTCAGTGAAATAACTTCTTGGGGAGGAAGTTAGCCCCTAGACCATCACTTTCAATTCAAACACATATCTTCTCACATGAGCCCTCACAGCCTGTTGGCTGAAATCACTTCCTGGTAAAGAAGGTGGCCCTGAGAACTAGGGTTGCCAAGTGGCACTTACCTTGCCGGCGGGGGACTCCCGTGCGTATCCCGGCGCGCCGCATGCACGTCACAGGGAAGTGACGTCATGACGCCGGGCACGATGGGGGCAGGGCCACGACCATACAAGGGAAAACCATAGAGTTTTCCCTTGTATGGCCGTGGCCCCGCCCCCAGCGTGCCCGGCGTCATAACGTCACTTCCCTGTGACGTGCACGCTGGGGCGGGGTTCCCCCCGGGGCCCGATTCCCCGGCGTCGGGGAACGGGCCTCTGGGGCGGAGGGATTTCTGCCCCCCGGGGGGACTTGGCAGCCCTACTGAGAACTGTGCTTCATGTCCAAGGCCTGCTCCTCAGGAACTGAGGCTGGGCCAGATTCTGCAAGAGAATAGTATTTCTGGGACACTGGCACCAGGAATACAGGAGCTACCCTCTGCTAAACCAAATTTGGCCAAGGGACAGTACTTTGAAAACCCAGGACACCAGCAGAGAGCTAAACACTTAATGAAGAGTGAGTAAGGCCCCAGCCCGATGATAGGCCATCGCTTCTCTTCAGACTCTAAGCCCTCACCCATCTTCAGACTCTGGACCTGAGGGGAGAGTTTTGCGGGTGGGAAGTACCATATCCAGTGGTGTAAAATGTATTTCCCCGTTGTAATAAATATAGTTGTTTTGCTTAAGCCAAGGTGTGTGAGTAGAAGGGAAGGAGGCTTTTAGAAAGTAGGCCCTAAGCCTTGAATTTGCCCTTTGTTCTGACATCCAGATTACAGCAAATCTAAGCAGGTCTACTCAGATCCCTTCAATGGGGCTTACTCTCAGGAAAGAGTGCTTTGGATTGTGCTGCCCATGTACCAGCTAGAGAGTTTCCCCCCTTCATGATTTATGTATAAAATACTGAAATGGTCAGACATCACCCCCTAGTGGACACTTACATAGATATGTTAATACTTCCTGCATGCCAGCTAAAAATAAGGTTAGTAAATACAATATTTTTTCTACTTTTAAATCAAGTATTTTGATACTCTTCTGCAAACACTGTTTCTCTAGCTATAATGTTTATTACATACGTGTTATGTTTAAATGTAATCCTTGGGTATCATAAGAACACAAGAAGGGCTCTTTTGAATCAGACCAGTGGGTACATCTAGTCCAGCATCCTGTCTCACACAATGGCCAACCAGTTCCTCTGGAGGTCCAACAACAGGGCACAGAGGCTGAGGCTTTCCCCGATGCTGACTTCTAGCCCAGGTATTCAGAGGTTTTCTGCCTTTGTATGTGGCCGTTCCCTTTACTCACCCCAACCAGTAGCCATTGAGAGACCTATCCTCCCTGAATCTAATCTCCTATAAAGCAATCATTTAGAATAATTAGTGTAACGCTGTAGTAAGACTGTTGGACTGAGGTTGGGGAGATCCACAATCTGCAGTGAAACCATACTCCAGTTGTGAGCCCACTTAAATCAGTGGGGTTAGACTGGAGTAGCTCTGCATAGGATTACACTGGCAGGCCTCTCCCAGCTACGAAGTTCATTGGGTGAGCTTGGGCCAGACACTGTCTCTCCGCCTAACCTACCACATAGGGTTGTTATGAGGATAAAATGGAGGAGGCAAGAATGGTGTACACTGCCCTGTGCTCCTTCAAGGAAGATACAACAATCAACCAATAAAATAATCAATAAAGATCATCTCCACATGCAATTTTCTTTAACAGAACAAACCCCTTTACCTGTAGTGTCGTTACCTTTCACCCGTTTATTGCAAAGCTCCTCTTCCGACAGACTGTTGCTAGATTTTCGTCTTCTGATGCCTAAAGAGCGCATGGCAAAGAACAATGTATCATCACGGGCCTGTCATTCCACCTTCTGAACACAGCCACAAGAATTTAGATCCACAGATTTCAACCCATGAAGCTACTGTATACCAAGCCAGACCATTGGTACATCTAGCTTAGTAATATATTCTCTGACTGGCAGCAAATCTGCAGAGCTGTGGGGTCTTTCCTTACGCCCTCTACCTTTGGGTGGGGATGCCAGGGATTGAACAAAGGAAGGTAAACGTTTTAGTAGGGAGCTACACTGCCTCCACCAAGTTCCCACCTGTGCCTTCTGCTGGTATAAAGGGACTGCTGATCCTGCCTCCTCTCTACCTGCAGACCCAGAAGACAGGTTCCAGAAGACTGGGGACAAATGTTTTCCACTCTTGCAACAAATTTGATTTAATGAATGTAAAGTTTCAATAGGGAGAGAAGGTGGCATGGTATAGCCTGATCCTGTCAGAACTTGGAAGCTAAGCAGGATCAGTACTTGGAAGGGAGACCGCCAAGGAAGACACTGCAGAGGAAGGCAATGGCCAACCACCTCCGCTTCTCACTTGCCCTGAAAACCCCTTGCTGGAGTTGCCATAAGTAGGCTGCGATTTGATGGCACTTCACACACACACTCTCTCTCTCACACACACACACACAAAGTTGTGAAAACAAAGTCCCCACTGAGAACTTTTCCATGAATCACAGTAAAATGAACTGATACACATTTTCATTCACATAAAATGTTATTGTACCGAGTGAATTGTACTAAACATGGCTTTGGGTAACTTACTGCCAGTGCGTCTTTTTTGCTCATTGTCATTCTGATTATGTTGGATCCAGTCACCTGTGAAATGGAAATGTTTCCAAAAGAATATTAAAATTACAGTAATCTGCACTGCTAACAAATACTCCAGGATTTTCACACACAAAAATCAGCCTCTTCCCCTTGCTAGCAAAGTAGGAACAGAACAAGTGAAGGGGACCTTTACAATTATCTTTGTCTTTTCTCTTTTCGTCAAAGAAGCTTCATCTCGCTGATTATATTGTAACTGCAAGAACACAAGGTGTTTATTTTTTAAGAATAGTCCTAGATTTTCCATCATACTTATTTATACCACAACCATTGAAAGTAGACCATAAAACCTTTAAGCCAAAAAGAAGCAAACAACAGTAGGAAACCATTACTAAAACTACATAGGTTAGGAAATTCCTAGAGATTTGGGGGGTGGAGTCTGGGGAGAGGGGGGTCTACGGAAGGGAGGGACCTCCGAACGGTATAATGCCACTGTTAAGTCGCTCACTTAACAAAGCAGTCGGAGAGTGATTCAGCAAGAACACAACTTTATTCTTCAACTCGAACACAACTCCAACACGGATCAACATCTGATAGCCAGAACAGCCTTTACATTGCAGCTGTCCTGCTTTTAAACATTCCCGGCTAATGTAGCCCCCCCCCCTGTACAAATACCAACCGATACGGTTGTTCAGATAAGGACCAATCACGGACGTTCCCGCTCAGGGAGCTTGCTGCAAAGTGATTGGCTAGGTGCTTCCTGGGCTAGCGATACGATTGGATGTATTTGGATCCTAGCCCAGGATGAAGCTTAACATTACAAGTCAATGAGATGTTTCACAACATATCCTGCATTCAAGGCAGCTTTGAATATACTACAGCCACAGACTCCACCCTCCAAAGCAGTCATTTCCTCCATAGGTACAAGGTTTGTGAACTTCCAGGTAGGGGCTGGACTTCACCTGTAATTAAAACTGATCTCCAGGTGACAGAAGCCAGTTTCCCTGGAGAAAATGGCTGCTTCGGAGGGTGGGCTCTATGGCATTGTACCCTGCTGAGGTCACTTCCCTCACCAAACCTCACCTCCCAAGGCTCCACCACCATATCTCCAGGAATTTCTCAACCTGTAGCTGGCAGCCTGAAGTAGAGAAGGAAGAAGGAAAAGGGGAGAGTCTATGGAGGCTTCCAGGTAAAGGAAAAGAGGAAATACTGGGGGGGGGGAATGAGATGCCTCCTTGCAAGTCCTTGCAGGTTCTCATTTGTTTCTGCATATTTTGGATTGCAGCAAATATACTGTCCAAAGTTCATCACTGAGATGAAGCAATCGGGCTGGAGACCCTGTATAGTGGTTCATAAGAACGTAACATAAGAACATAAGAGACGCCAATGTTGGATCAGGCCAAAGGCCCATCCAGTCCAACACTCTGTGTCACACAGTGGCCAGAAATACCAGTGCCATCAGGAGGTCCAGCAGTGGGGCCAGGACATTAGAAGCCCTCCCACTGTTGACCCCCCCCCAAGCACCAAGAAGACAGAGCATCACTTGCCCCAGAGCCCCTAGCTATACCTTGTGGCTAATAGCCACTGATGGACCTCTGCTCCATATGCTTATCTAATTCCCTTTTGAAGCCGTCCATGCTTGTAGCACCCACCACTTCCTGTGGCAGTGAATTCCATGTGTTAATCACTCTTTGGGTGAAGAAGTACTTCCTTTTATCCGTTCTAACCCGACCGCTCTGCAGTTTCATGGAGTGCCCACGAGTTCTTGTATTGTGAGAAAGGGAGAAAAGTACCTCTTTCTTTACCTGCTCTTTCCCATGCATAATCTTATAAACCTCGATCATGTCACCCCTCAGTCGTCTTTTCTCCAAGCTAAAGAGCCCTAAGCGCTTTAACCTTTCCTCATAGGGAAAGTGTTCCAACCCTTTTATCATTCGAGTTGCCCTTTTCTGCACTTTTTCCAAAGCTATAATATCCTTTTTAAGGTGTGGTGCCCAGAACTGCACACAGTATTCCAAATGAGGTCTCACCATTGATTTATATAGGGGCATTATTATATTGGCTGATCTGTTTTCAATACCCTTCCTAATAATCCCCAGCATAGCATTGGCCTTCTTTATTGCAGTCACACACTGTCTCGACATTTTCAGTGAGTTATCCACTACAACTCCAAGATCTCTCTCTTGCTCAGTCTCTGCCAGTTCAGACCCCATCAATGTGTATTTATATTTAGGATTTTTGGCTCCAATGTGCATCACCTTGCACTTGGCCACATTGAACCCCATTTGCCATGTTGACGCCCACTCGCCCATCCTTGACAGATCCCCTTGGAGTGCCTCACAATCCTCACTGGTTTTCACCACCCTGAACAACTTTGTATCATCCGCAAATTTAGCCACTTCACTGCTTACTCCCATCTCCAAATCATTAATGAACAAGTTAAAAAGCAGTGGACCAAGTACTGATCCCTGCGGTACCCCACTGCTTACCACCCTCCACTGAGAAAATTGCCCACCTACACTCACTCTCTGTTTTCTATGAACTAGCCAGTTTTTGATCCATAAAAGGACTTGTCCTTCTATCCCATGATTTTTGAGCTTACTTAGGAGCCTTTGATGAGGAACTTTATCAAAAGCTTTCTGGAAGTCAAGGTAAATAATATCTATTGGATCCCCCTTGTCCACATGTTTGTTCACCCCCTCAAAGAACACTAACAGGTTAGTGAGACAAGATCTTCCCTTACAGAAACCGTGCTGAGTCTGCCTCAATAGGTTTTGTTCATCTATGTGCCTACTAATTCTTTCCTTAATAATGGTTTCCACCAATTTACCCGGTATCGACGTCAGACTGACTGGCCTGTAATTTCCCGGATCTCCTCTGGAACCCTTTTTAAAGATGGGAGTGACATTAGCTACCTTCCAATCCTCAGGAATGGAGGCAGATTTTAAGGAAAGATTACATATCTTTGTCAGGAGATCTACAAGTTCACATTTGAGTTCTTTCAGAACTCTCGGATGTATGCCATCTGGGCCTGGTGATTTTTCAGTTTTTAAGTTGTCTATCAGTTTTAGGACCTCCTCTCTCGTCACCTCAATCTGACTCAGGTCTTTCAACACCCCTCCTGAAATCAGTGGTTCTGGAGTGGGCAAGCACTTCTCATCTTCCACAGTGAAGACGGAGGCAAAAAATGCATTTAGCTTCTCAGCCATTTCCCTATCATCCTTCAATACTCCTTTTACCCCTTGGTCGTCCAAGGGCCCCACTGCCTCCCTGGCTGGTTTCCTGTTTCTAATGTATTTGAAGAAAGTTTTATTGTTGGTTTTTACGTTTTTTGCTATATGCTCCTCATATTCCCTTTTTGCCTGCCTGACCTCAGACTTGCATTTTATTTGCCATAGCCTGTGTTCCGTTTTATCAGCCTCACTGTGACTAGCTTTCCACTGCTTAAAGGAATTCTTTTTACTTTTTACAGCCTCCATTACTCTGTTTGTTAACCATGCAGGCTTTTTCCTATACCTGTTTGTGCCTTTCCTAACCTGCGGAATATATATTTTTTGAGCTTCTAGGATCGTAGTTTTAAATAGATCCCAAGCTTCCCCAATTGTTTTGACCCTTTCTACTTTTCCTTTCAGTTTCCTCCCCACGTGTCCCCTCATATCAGAGAAATTACCCCTTTTAAAGTTAAAAATGGTTGTGTGAGTCTTTTTGGCCAATTCTCTATTTGTACAAATGATGAACTCAACAACATTATGATCACTGTTTCCAAGCGGTGCAATCACTTTTACATCTCTCACCAGGTCTTGAGTGTTACTTAGGACCAAATCAAGGATCGCCTCTCCCCTGGTAGGTTCCGTGACCATCTGCTCCATAGCACAGTCATTTAGAGTGTCTAGAAACTCAATCTCTTTTTCCCGGCTAGAACACATATTGACCCAATCAATGTGTGGGTAGTTAAAATCACCTATTATTACACAGTGTTTTTGTCTAGTTGCTATCTTTAAGGCATTCATCATTTTATAATCCTCCTCTATCTTTTGATCTGGTGGGCGATAACAAACTCCCAGTGTTAAGTTTCCTTTTGGCCCCCCTATTTCAACCCATAGAACTTCCAGAAGCGAATCCAATTCACTTAGCCTCTCAATCTTTCTAGACTTTATACCCTCTCTGACATACAGAGCTACCCCACCTCCAACCCTTCCCCCCCTATCCTTCCGATATAATATATAACCGGGAATCACTGTGTCCCACTGATTTTCCTCATCCCACCAAGTTTCAGAAATACCCACAATGTCTATTTTTCCCTCCGACACCAAGCACTCCAACTCCCCGATTTTACCTCGGACACTTCTAGCATTTGTATAGAAACAGCTGTAATTTCCCTTACAAGTTAAGCCTGCATCCTTCCTCTTGCTATCTCGAGTCGTTGTCCGGCAGTCCATGTCACCAGCCATGGCCTCTGTGGACAATTTCAATCCACCTCCCTGTAGAAAAGCAACCGGTACCCCCTCACCTCTCTCAGATGAGCCAACCCGAACCAGAGACTTTTCATCTCCTGTCGGCTTTCCCCCAATATTCAGTTTAAAAGCTGCTCTGCCACCTTTTTGATTTTAAGTGCCAGCAGCCTGGTTCCTTCTCGGGACAAGTGGAGACCGTCTCGCCTGTACAGCTCCCTCTTGTTCCAAAAAGTATCCCAGTGCCTAACAAACCTGAACCCTTCCCCCCTACACCATCGTCTCATCCACGCATTGAGACTCCTGATCTCTGCCTGTCTCTCCGGCCCTGCGCGTGGAACAGGTAACACTTCTGAGAAGGCTACCTTGGAGGTCCTGGACCTAAGTTTCCTGCCCAGCAGCCTAAATTTCTCCTCCAGGACCTCACGACTGCATTTCCCCACATCGTTGGTGCCGACATGCACCACGACCACTGGCTCCTCCCCAGCACTATCTACCAGCCTATCTAAAACACGCGTAATGTCCGCTACCTTCGCACCAGGCAGGCAAGTCACCATACGGTCAGTACGCGGGTTCGCCACCCAGCTGTCTACCTGCCTAAGGATCGAATCACCCACTACCAAGAGCCCCCCTCCCACCCTGCTCAGGGATGGTTCCTTGGTGCAAAAGGAGAGCCGCTCACCAGCTGGGGAAGAGGTCCCTTCTGAGGGCACATTCCCCTTATCCTCAGCATGGTGCCCTGTTTCCCCTAGACCCTCATGCTCCCTGACAGCAGCGGGGCTGCCAGATCCAGAGTGGGACGTAGCTAACAAGTCCCCGAGAGTCTTTTCTGTGTGCCTAGCTGACTGTCTCTGCTTCTCCAGGTCAGCCACCTTGGCCTCAAGGGAGCACACACGTTCCCTGAGAACCAGGAGCTCCTTGCACCGTGGACACACCCAAGATTTCTGCCCAGTGGGCAGATAGTCATACATGTGACACTCCGTGCAAAACACTGGATAGCCCCCAACCCCCTGCTGGCATTCTGGCTTCATAATTCTTTTAAAATAAATAAATATAATCCCCCTTTTAAACCCTTGGTATTTATGTGGTTTTTGTTATCAAGTCAAATTATTTTACGGGAAAGACAAAGAGCCTAGGGCCTTGTCTTTCTGGCTCTCAGCTGAAAGCAAGTAAAAGAAACCCACTCACCTCTCTCACAGCTCTCTCTCCTGCTCCTGCTCAGAGCTCAGCTGGTCTCTCCTGCTCCTGCTCAGAGCTCAGCTGGTCTCCACTTAGAACTATGATGCCTGTTGGGTGACCTTGGGCCACTTGCACTCTCTCAGACCAACCTACCTCATGGGGTTGTTGCAAGGATGGAGGAGAAAGAGCTATGTATACTGCCCTGAGCTTCTTAGGAAAAGGCCAAGATAAAAAGCCAATTCATAATAAACGCACAGACTGTACAATGGATCATGGCTAATGGATACTTACATTCCCTTAGCTTTGCTTTCCATACAGTTTCTTCAGAGTCCATTTCCACCAAAGATAATGTAAGTTCTACTGGCTGTTCTAAATACACCTCAATATAACTTTTCACTTTTAGGAGAGAGTCATCGACAAATTCAATCTCCTAGAAAATAGATATCAATGCATTAAAACCCCACATTTGTCTATCTGTTTAAAATATTTACACCCCACCTCTCCCTACAAGTATATTCCAAGTGTCTTCCACACTTGAAAGGTCAGAGCAGCAGCAAGAAATCAAGATCAAAATTAGCAGATAAAATAATTAAAAGATTGTAATTTCAGAACCAAAAACCCTCTAAGGGGGAGAAAGTCCCACTGTTTGGACACGACTATTAAGAAGGCCATGTTCCAACTAGATACTTAAAGCGAGGGCACTGAGACATGGGTCTCTGTTGACAATCTCAACCAGCAAGCAGGTTAAGATGATGATTTGTTTTGTGTCAAAGAGTTGGTGTTTTTAGCTAAACATTTATGGATTTCACAGTGCTATATAAACATTTTTGATGATGTGCCAACTGCCAAGATACAGTTACAATAATATTTGCATCAAAATCAAAAGTACAAAAGAATAAAATTCTCCACTTCCACAAAATGACACACATGTTGACATGCCAATTATATAAAAATGAAGAACATACCTCAGGAGTTATTTCAGCTTCTGGTTCACTAATTAATCTGTATTTCTTCCCACCTTGGAGTAGTTTCTGACAAGGGGGTTTCTCGATTTTAATAAATTTCTTACCAGAAAGTTTAACTGCTCTTGAGACATCCTAAAAATTAAAAAAAAAATGTTTGAATTGTGAATGTTTGATTAAAGAAACGTACCACAGCTACACTTGAGTATATTCCCATATCAAACTCTGTATAAATATTAAGAAAATGGTTTACACACACACACAAAAATGCACACACAAACCTGAAATTCAATAGACAAATGGTTCCTAGGATATTATTTACTAGATGACTGATTTAGTATTTCTGCTACAGATTATGCAGTATTCCCCGCAGTAAGTAAAGCATGTGTTAGGTGGATTGCTCCATCTGGTTATAATCCTAAAGATATTTATTAGGAAGTATGTCCCACTCAAAATAATGAGACAAAGTAAATAACAATAAACAACGATTATGAAAACACATAAAAGATCACAATTGTCTACACATGACACTCCTCCTCAGATGGCTTCTGCCTGTCTTTCTCCTCAGAAATCTTTCTTTGCTTCAGAAATTTCTCCTATGCCTTCCTCACAGGGACAAAATACCTTTCCCCCAAACTGGATGGCCCAGGCTAGTCCAATCTTGTTAGATCTTGTAAGTTATGAAAACAAGAAAAAATGCATGTGCCCAAATTTAATGCCAATAATCAATAGATTTAATAATAGCAAGACATATAAAGTACTCAGAACAAATTTTCCATAAACAGGTAGAAATTCACTGGTAAAGTTGAATACCGGTAAAAATTCACAGGTGGAGTTTTTCCACAAACAATCTCTCCTTATATATAATTGAGTAGTGGGTGCCAAAGTTCTAAAATGCACTCCTTTAGTGTATGGACGCTTGAACTGTCAGTCAGAAGACGCTGGCTGGGTTGACTGGCTGCTTTGTGCAGTCCCGCCCAGTGTTTCAAGGTCTTTTGCATATGGAAGCTGATTGGACTTCACTGCATTCCACACCTCAAACTCACCCCCCTCCCCGCAAGGCAGTTGGAATGTCAGTTGCATATGGAACCTTCAAGGTCTTTTGCATATGGAAGCTGATTGGACTTCACTCCATTCCACACCTCATACTCCCCCCCCCCAAGGCAGTTGGAATGTCTGGTGGTGTGTAGGTCCCAGGATCATGTTTTAAAAGCTGCCTGGGGGATTATGGACCATAGACAGGTTACAGTGCCATAGACTCCACCCTCCAACCCAGCTATTTGCTCCTGGGGAACTATTGTTGCCAATCTTGGCCCAGCACCCATCAAACCATTCTCTTCAACCCCCTGCTGTGCAGCACACTTTCCCCTAGGGTTGCCAAACTCCAGGTGGGACCAATGACATTATACCTGCTGAGTCCCCCCCGCCCAATGCTGCCCTCTACAGAATCCACCCCCCAAACCTCCAGGTATTTCCCTCCTTAGAGCTGGCAACCCTACATTCCCCTCAGTGCCTGTTGGTAGGCAACTAAGCTTGGTCCTGTCACCTACTTTGGCCTTTGGGAGAAAACACATTGGGGCCAGTCCTGATAGGGTTGCCAACTCCAGATGGGAAATTCCTGGAGATTTGAGGGATGGAGCCTGAAGAGGGTGAGGTTTGAGGAGGGGTGGGACCTCAGACAGTTACAATGCCATAGACGCCACCCTCCAAACCAGTCAGTCCCACATAGGGAACCATTGTTGCCAATCTCCAGGTGAGGGCTGGATAGCACTCAGAATTACAACTGCTCTGCAAAAGGGAGGGCAGAAGTCAGCTGAAGTCAAAGGGGCAGATAATGGTAGGTTGATGGTTAGCTGGGAAGGAGATGGGGTTGCCAACTACATGCTGACAAATTCCTGGGGATTTGAGGGGTGGAGCCTGGAGAGGGTGGGGTTTGCAGAGGAGTGGGACCTCAGACAGGTAGAATGCCATAGACTACACCCTCCAAACCAGCCACTTTGTCCTGGGTAACAATTGCTGCCAATCTCCAGGTGAGGGCTACAGATCACTCACAATTACAACTGCTCTTCAGGTAGCAGAGATCAGTTCCTCTGGAGAAAACAGTGGACTCTGTCATTATACCCTGCTGAGGTCACCACAGCAAATTGACACTGTTTGCCCAAAGCCAGAGTACTCCCCCAGAGCCTCTTTCTAGATCCCGTTGTATTGCTTTCACAACGGGCTTTACTGCTAGTTTGTAATAAATTCAAAAAAGTCCTTGATCTGTAAGGATGTAGTAGTGTTTCTGCCAGCTGACTCGACAAACCCCCAGTTCTAAATCTGTTTCAATAATTTTCTTCAAGAATCATGCTGGATTCAACATTTCAAAGGTACATGTAGACATCCATAAAGCATATTCAAATACACCAATCCTCAATTATTCCTAATGCAGAATCTATCATTTCGTGGAACCTCCTTTCAAAATTCTGAAGCATTTCACCATTTGCATTAGAGAGAAAGGTTCTCCTTTTGTGTAGTTTGTGGAAAAACTCCACCTGTGAATTTCTACCTGTATTCAACTTTACCAGTGAATTTCTACCTATTGTTTATGTAAAATTTGTTCTGAGTACTTTACATGTCTTACTATTATTACATTCATTGATTATTGGTGTTAAATCTGGGCACATGCATTTTTTTCTTGTTTTCATATATTGCTGCGCCACTGCCTTTCATCTTGTATCTCATTTCATTACGACAGATCTTGGAAGTTAAGCAGGGTCATCCCTGGTTAGTACTTGGATGGGAGACCACAAAGGAAGTTCATGGTTGCTATGTGGAGAAAGGCAGTGGCAAACCACCTCTGAAAACCCCTTGCCTTGAAAACCCTACAGGGTTGCGACTTGGCAGCACTTTCCACCACCACCAATCTACATACAATACAGGTCCAAGCCCACAGGGTTTACCCAATATATACCCTAGATGTATATGGGCATTGCCTCCTGGCCATATGCAGGCTCCATTCCTGGCACAAAGCAGCTCTGCCACCTGACCCACCAAGTTTCATCTCCCATCTGCCCCAAGGCCCATCCTCGTGCCAGAACGTTTGAGGAGTTAACAACCTCCCAACATCAAGGATAAAGCAGAACAGTGCATAGGAAACAAAAAGAGAGGGGATTTGTGTTTGTATCGTCAAAAGCATCAACAGCAGACATGTTGACCTCACCTTTATAAATGAATTGTTGTTACTTGCCACATACACACGGAATGACAAGGAAGGGTGATCATTGACAGTTTTGTATAAAAGAACCACCCCATGGTAATATACTGGATCATGGTTCTGAAGAACTGGTCCAACAGGTGACAGCGAGCTCACTTGCCATTTGACGTGCGTGGCTGAATGATCGATGGAACCCTCAAATTCTGCGCCATTGTTTTTGAAATGGAACACTTTGAATGTTGTGTCTGATGAATGCTCTGCAAGGAAATACCAAGATATTAACCCTTTCTAAACAGACACCAGGGTAGACGTAATTATGGGTTTACGCTCACTGCTCAGGCCTTACCATTCAGGCAGAAGGTATGTGGAAACTGAATAGAGGTAAGGACGGAGGTGGATGTACATGTGACGTCATATATAGGGCCTCCAACAATCCAGGGCTCTTTAATGTAATTGGCAAACTTGCTCCAAGACAAAAGGGAGTATTTAATGACAGCAGCTTTGGTAACTTCAAAGATTAAGCCTGTGACAGCACATTGGTAAACTCCTTCAGCATCAAGCTTCAACCTACATTAAACATATGTGTGACAAACACAGCATAGGTTTTATTATATGCAACATTCCTTCTTCTGCATTTTCGTACAGTCCTAAATATGAAGGAAAGATACATGAACAGAATACTGATGTAGTCACAGCTGGACCTTATATGAACAAGAAGCCAACTCCTTTGGAGACTATTCCTGTTTAAAATTAATTCTGGCTTTAAAGGAATTCATTTTAAACAAAATTATTGTTATTCTTACCAACCTCATCATTTATAGTAAAGGTGGCTTTTGCTTCAAATATTTTTACAACAAAATAATAAAATGTTACTTAAGATTGGTGTTGTGCATCATTTGAAAAAATAGCAAAAATGTGTATTGGGTTTCTAGCTCTCCGCTATCTTTGATTTAGGCTGTTAAATACTAGGCTAAGTCATTACACAGAAATTGCTACACTACACAAAAAATCTGAGGAGGTTTCAGTTGTTCCTATTTTCTATAAATCAACTTTTACAGTTTTGGAATATGCATCTCACTTTGATGAGGTTCAACTTTACAATGTAGAAGGTGACTCCCATTCTTTAAAAAAAAAAAACACCAACCCTAACATCCTACAATTATCAAGGTAGCCAGAACTGTCTATTTTTTGACTATTTCAAAGGCCAAAGAAAAATAAGAATCTTTTTTCCTGCCTTTGTCCTTCATCTCCTGCTCTCTCTTCACCAATATTTTTAAAGAGGCAAGGCAGAGGAAGAGGAGGCGAAGAACTTCTCTGCATAGAAATTTGAGAGAGATGAGAAGGATAAGCTCCCATTCCCTACTGTGTGGCAGTGTGATGTGTGCTTTTGTAAATGTGCGAGGATGGATGTGCAAATAGTTCCCCCAAATTATTTATTTACAATATGTAAATACATTTATAGTGTGTGTGTGTGTGTATACACACAGTATGGATATACTGCTCTCAACACATTTTAGAAGCTTTGTCAAAGCAAGTCTGTTCCATGAATGTTCACGAGTTGCCACCTACATTAAACACAACTTACCAGTATTGTCCTCTGGAAAGTCTCCTGGGAGTTACTTGCTCTTGCTGCCCCTTTATGTTTAAAAAAATTGAAAAACTAATTAATAAGACATCTAGTGCTAAATTGCTTTAAAAAACTGTTTAACACAATTCCTGATTCAGTTTTTGAAACCTACTTGTTGAATCCTGCAATGTTCACAGTGTTCTTGGGTGTTAACCTCTAATTGAAAACAAGAAGATAAATTTTTTTTTTAACTAAACATTATTAAAAACTGTCAGATAAATATTATCCAAAGAAAGGTACTGTACCTGCTTTAACACAATTTGACCCAGGTGCTTTGTCTTCTAGTTCCTTGTCTAAGAAAAAAAATCTTTTCAGTGCACTAAGAGTGAATAACAACTTTGAATCAATACTTTTTTTATCACTATAGTAAACTGGCTGGCCAGTGTATGCAGATGACGAGAGCTGCAGGACTGGGTTACCCACAGATTATTTATTTATTTCTATTATTTATAGTCTGCCTTTCTCTCTGAGGCTCAAGGTGGATTACACAGACTGAGTCAAACAATTAACAGAATAGGACAGGACATTCAATAAACAATGGAATAGGATCTGAGTTGTAGAACCAACCAGAAATCTAAAAAACAGAACTGAAGCAAAGCGTTAAGTATTAGCATGGCACATTAAATGACGCAAAATTCCACAGCAGGATACTAGTTTCAGCCTGCTATACGTGGTAGTATAGACCATAGCACCTTATAATTTTTCCAAGTAACTTTGTGAATCATTTAGTACAGTGCTAGGAGTCTCTACACTCTCACTAGACTCCTCAGGTAGACAGACAAATACAATTTATACATTAACCAAGAGGGGAAAACTTTAAAATATAACACCACTTGATGAGGGCTAAATGTGCACTAGAATAGACAAAAGCTTGAAAGCAGATATTTAACTGTTAAAAGCAAAAAAAGAAAAGAAGTAGGGATAAATCATCCTGCCCAATCCCCTGAGAGCTTAGAGAACTCTGGAGGGGGGGATTTGAAAGAGATGGATTTGGGATTTTCAATTTGTGCATGGATAATGGCTTATTCATTGACCTGGTTTCCGAGGCTAGCTTGATCATGTCAGATCTCAGAAGCTAAGCAGGGCTGGCCCTGGTTAGCATTTGGATGGGAGACCTCCAAGGAAACCCAAGGTTGCTACACAGAGGGAGGCAATGGCAAACCACCTCTAGGGGGTTGCCATAAATTGACTGTGATTTGATGGCATCAAACTGGCATCCCCTCAAACTGCAATTCAGAATCATGGTTTAGCCTTAGCTTTGAATCCTAGCATATCTCAGCCCACAGTTTAAGAAGTGTTGTATTTCTCCAAAGCACTGAATGGCTTAACAGTGTTAAAAAGGACTGGTGCATAAACAGATTGTGATTATAAGCAAAACACAGGATGCATTCAGATGTCACAAAAAACTAACAAAGACCCTTTGCAGCACCTAAAAAAACGACAGTTTATTGAGCCATAGCCCCCTTCATTGGTTGCAAACCCAAATTCATTTATGACAAGAATGAGCCACAGTCTTAAAGTTCACGTGCTCCCTTTGTGCTTCCATTCTCTGAAGTGCTAAAATTACAAACCAGGAAATCTTTAATAAACCACCAACTTTCTGTAACATCCTGTAACTTTCTGTAACATTCTGTAACATTTGGAGATGGGAGTAAGCAGTGAAGTGGCTAAATTTGCGGATGATACAAAGTTGTTCAGGGTGGTGAAAACCAGTGAGGATTGTGAGGCACTCCAAGGGGATCTGTCAAGGATGGGCGAGTGGGCGTCAACATGGCAAATGGGGTTCAATGTGGCCAAGTGCAAGGTGATGCACATTGGAGCCAAAAATCCTAAATATAAATACACATTGATGGGGTCTGAACTGGCAGAGACTGAGCAAGAGAGAGATCTTGGAGTTGTAGTGGATAACTCACTGAAAATGTCGAGGCAGTGTGTGACTGCAATAAAGAAGGCCAATGCTATGCTGGGGATTATTAGGAAGGGTATTGAAAACAGATCAGCCAATATAATAATGCCCCTATATAAATCAATGGTGAGACCTCATTCGGAATACTGTGTGCAGTTCTGGGCACCACACCTTAAAAAGGATATTATAGCTTTGGAAAAAGTGCAGAAAAGGGCAACTCGAATGATAAAAGGGTTGGAACACTTTCCCTATGAGGAAAGGTTAAAGCGCTTAGGGCTCTTTAGCTTGGAGAAAAGACAACTGAGGGGTGACATGATCGAGGTTTATAAGATTATGCATCGGAAAGAGCAGGTAGAGAAAGAGGTACTTTTCTCCCTTTCTCACAATACAAGAACTCGTGGGCACTCCATGAAACTGCAGAGCGGTCGGGTTAGAACGGATAAAAGGAAGTACTTCTTCACCCAAAGAGTGATTAACACATGGAATTCACTGCCACAGGAAGTGGTGGGTGCTACAAGCATGGACGGCTTCAAAAGGGAATTAGATAAGCATATGGAGCAGAGGTCCATCAGTGGCTATTAGCCACAAGGTATAGCTAGGGGCTCTGGGGCAAGTGATGCTCTGTCTTCTTGGTGCTTGGGGGGGGTCAACAGTGGGAGGGCTTCTAATGTCCTGGCCCCACTGCTGGACCTCCTGATGGCACTGGTATTTCTGGCCACTGTGTGACACAGAGTGTTGGACTGGATGGGCCTTTGGCCTGATCCAACATTGGCGTCTCTTATGTTCTTATGTTCTTATCCAAAGGGGCAATTTAAGAAATTGCAGTTAGTCCCTGCATGCAAACCAGGATTACAAATCACAAGGCTATCCTGGGAATATGGGGTTGGGAAAAAGCATCCCTGATGGGGAAATAGCAGTGAGCAGGTGGATAAGGTTGCCAATTCCACATTAAGAAATCCCTGTAGCTGGGGGATGGACCTCTGTGGAGTATCACGGGGCTCTTTTTGTAGCAGGAGCTCCTGTGCATATCAGGCCACACACCCCTAGTGTAGCCAATCCTCCAAGAGCTTACAGAGCTCTTCTTACTGGGGCTACTGTAAACTCTTGGAGGGTTGGCTACATCAGGGGTGTGTGGCCTAATATGCAAAAGAGCTCCTGCTACAAAAATAGCCCTGCCTGAGAGTCCACCCTTCCAACCAGCCATTTTCACCAGGGGAACTGGAGATTGGTTGTAATGACAGGAAATCTCCAGGCTCCACCTGGAGGTTGGCAACCCTAATTGGAGGTGGATATGTGAATAGCATCTCGTCTCAACTCTGTTAGCTGCTGACTCCCCACCATCATGTAACTGCAGAAGCACCAACAATCACAGCCCAGAAAACTGCTGATCTCCCCCCACAGCTGAGACATGGTTAAAGGGGCACCATGGTTCAGCGGTTAATACAAAGAAAGCCTACTCAAGGGCTGAAAATACGGTAGAAATGAGGAGTCTGGCTCTGCCCCTTCCCTGGAGTGGCTGCAGGACAAGCATCTACATGGATGTTCCCACCAGAGCCACCTGCACCTTCTCTTTTCAGCTGGATCAAAGAAGGTTTTCTCTCGCTCTAAATCAAAGGAGAATGCTCTGGGAGCCCCACAGTTGTGCACAGAAAGAGCACGACATCACGAGGAAGCTCCCTCATGATGCCAGGATGGTGTAGTGGTTAAGTGCGTGGACTCTAATCTGGGAGAACCGGGTTTGATTCCCCACTCCTCCACTTGCAGCTGCTGGATGACCTTGGGCAAGCCATAGTTCTGTCAGAGCTATTCTTGAAAGAGCACTTTCTGTTAGAGCTCTCATCCCCGCCTACCTCACAGGGTGTCTGTTGTGGGAAAGGGAAGGGAAAGGAGTTTGTAAGCTGCTCTGAAACTCTGAGTGAAGGGCGGAGTATAAATCCAATATCTTCTTCTTCTCCTTGAAAATGTGAGGGCACCCAGCTGTTCACATAGAGGGAAATCTCCATATGGAAGCAGCCCTGGTTTAGAATCCTGGTTTGTGAAGCAATTTGTTAAACTGCCCAGTTTGGACATCAGAAAAAAATGTTTATTGAAGAATTCCTGGTGTGCAGTTTTGGTCCTGAGTTATAAACAGCAACTAATGAGAAATCATTTCTGAATGTTGGTTGGAATATTCACTACTAAGTGAGGTTGTGATTTATTTATTTTTTTGGCCATCAAGTCACAGCTGACTTATGGTGACCCTGTGGGGTTTTCAAGGCAAGAGACTGTACAGAAAAAGTCTTTTCTGAAATCTTTCCTGCCTGGGCCGGATGGCCTTAGTTGATGACACTTCAGTGAGATTTTTGTCACAGTGAGATTTTTGTCACCTGAGCAGATGGCCAGGCCAGGGTAGAGAGACTTGCAGGCGCCTTCCCAAGCATGGGAAGACCTATGCCCAGTACATCAGCACATCAAAAGCATTCCCTGACATGACACATAGACACTTGAAGAGGCTAGAGCGGGAGTAACTGAACTGCAGACAAGATGCCCAACTCCTAGCCAATCAAAATATACCTTGCCTGACAACGCATGGTAACCAGAGATTGGACACGCCTTCCCACTCTCTCACTATTGGGTAAATGGCCATACCTGGTGGTGACAGAAGGGGGTATAACTGCAATAATCCATATGGGAAAAAGGAGTTCCTCCCTGGAAACAATGAGTTCTTCTGGACGGGCTGCTTGCTTGTCAACTGTGCGGTCAGCATGGAATGAGCCTACTAGGCAGCCAAGCTGGACTTAGCTGCCCACAGCACCATGGGGTTCCTTTTCAAGATCCCCTGGTGAGACCTTGGACTATTTCATTTGATACCTCTAAAAGCCTAGTAACTATGGAATACCTCTATTGTGAAGTTAGAGCTGAACTAGCTATAGATATCATTTGTTTTCTTATCTTTTGGTAGTCTCATGTTATATGCATGCTTGTGCACTGAATACAGATAATCAATATGAATCAATATTATCTGGACTTGTTTCCTCTGTTGCAACCTGATTTCTAAGACTGAATCTTGTGTCTCAGCCATTCGCCTAAGGAGGCTACCACTGTGTTAATTAATTGTTTGCAGCCCTTTTACAGAACTGGTGAAATTGGTAAGTCCGATAAATCAGGCAGGAGGTGGGATCTCTGCTCCTGACCTTAGTGTGGACTATTTGTGAGAGATCCTGGTGGCAGTAACTACTGGTAAAGCCTGGAGAGTGTACGGACATTCTCCTGGGGTTTGTTTAATTGTTGCTGAATGCTTGGTTTAACTCCCATCCCTGGACTGGGGTGAGAGAGAAATCTTGGAAGAGACATTCAGAGGTGGTTTGTCATTGCCTGCCTCCACATCATGACCCTGGTATTCCTTGCTAGTCTTCCTTACGAATACTCACCAAGGCTTAGCCTGAGCTATCCAAGTCAGGGTGGGGTTGTATTACATGAAGAGTATATAGCATCTCTTCAGACATGATATATCATAAATAATGCAAAACAAAAGGGAATTACAAAAGAAGAAAACAATGCAGGTTATAATGCATACAATACTATTGTACAGAATAGACTATAGTCCTGTTCCCTTTATAAAAGCTCCCTCTCGTAACTGTTCCATAAGACCACAACCTTAGTTTGAGGAATGCCAGAAGTGTGGGAGCCTCCCTGACCTTCCACAAGGTGGGAGCCATGACACAGAATGCATGTGTGGCAGCTATTGGTTTTACTCATTTGCAGGGTGGCACCTTCAGAAGGCCTTGCTTAGATGATCAAAACTGTCAGAACATGGCAGAGCAGCTGATCCTGCAGACATTGGTCAGAGCATCCCCAATGTGCTTACGTCACATTCAGGGTTTCAGGTGGATGTGACAGCCCTGCCCTGAGAGCTCCCTGGGATGCCAGCCGACAGTTCGGCCTGGTTATGTATACAAGTATCACAATATGATTGTGATATGATTGGGAAAGTCTGCACTGCAGTTCTCACCTCTGCTAAAAGCTTACTGGGTGACTTTTGGCAAACAATTCTTTCTCACAATACAAGAACTTGTGGGCACTCAATGAAATTGCTGAGCAGTCGGGTTAGAAGGGATAAAAGGAAGTACTTCTTCACCCAAAGAGTGATTAACACATTGGAATTCACTGCCACAGGAGGTGGTGGCGGCTACAAGCATGGACGGCTTCAAGAGGGAATTAGATAAGCATATGGAGCAGAGGTCCATCAGTGGCTATTAGCCACAAGGTATAGATAGGAACTCTGGGGCAAGTGATGCTCTGTATTCTTGGTGCTTGGGGTGGGGAATGGGAGGACTTCTAGTGTCCTGGCCCCATTGATGGATCTCCTGATGGCACCTGGTATTTCTGGCCACTGTGTGACACAGAGTGTTGGACTGGATGGGCCACTGGCCTGATCCAACATTGGCATCTCTTATGTTCTATGACTACAGAATAACTGTAATATGCACACTATGCTTAGCTTAGCTCCTTTTAGGAACCAAACTAGCATTCTATATCAACTGAAGTTTCCAAGTTGACATCAATGGCACAAAACTATTGCCTTGGCTGTTTTATTGTTGTTTTTTTAGCATTGTGGCATATAATTATTTCAAACACACAAATAAATGTTCCATTTAGCCATCATTGCTATATGGTGTTAATGAGCCTAATTTCCATGCATTTGTAATTTTACCCTTTCTTAAATTCTGCATAACCATAATAATACATTAGTTTTTTAAAAAAAAAATTAAAAAATTGACACTAGGCATATACACCTAGAATCATAGAATCTGAGAGTTGGAAGGTACATCCAGGGTCATCTAGTCCAACCCCCTGCACAATGCAAGAAATTCACAAATACCTCCCCCACACACACACACCAAGTGACCCCTGTTCCATGCCCAGAAGATGACAAAAAAACCCTCCAGGATCCCCAGCCAAACTGGCCTGGAGAAAAATTGCTTCCTGACCCCAAAGTGGCAATCAGCATTTTCCTGGACATGTAACAAAGGGCCACAAGATACAGATACTTTGACTGGTCTCAACCCATTTGCCAACAGGAAGAATGATTTTTAAACTACGTTGTGTTACATTTTACATGTTACTCATTCACTGAGCTGCTGAAAAAGGAAGAAGTGAATCCCCTTTTGGTCACCAAAATATCTATGTTGGGGATCATGGGACCTACATGGACAACAGCGAGGTGGGAAACGGGCCACAGTAAAAAGGAGAACTGGGTGAGATGGAATGAAAAACCTGGCTAGATCCAACCCATGTGCATGTAATCCAGTGTAATATTTTCTGCAAGCCTCCTCTTACATATCTTTCCCTTACTAAAGAAGAAAGCAGAATTAAGGATAAAACGAAGAGCACTCACTTGATTCATCTTCATCTGTGTCTATAAATTAAAAAGGAAAGCCTAATTACTGAATCAGAAACCATGCTCTTAATTTATTTAAAATACAAATACATATGGAATTAAAATACACATATGGCCAAAATCTGTTTGCCCCCAATTGACATCAACCATTTCCTCCAATTCTTTTCCTGTCCATCCTGTTTTGCTGCTTCTCTTGCCAAATTCTACGCAGCCTCTGGTTGCTGGGGCTACCGTGTTGACACAACAAGGCTCATTTTACCAAATATTATGTCTGAGATAAAATACTGTTAGCTGTCTTTTGCCTGTTTCTCTTCACTCAGGAATGACCGCAATAACAATTTATGCAAACAAAAATGAAAATGGGCATGTGCAGGTAAAAGACAAACCCTGGGCTTGCGCGCGCACACACCACTGATGGTTGTGTATATTCTCTCAATCTCTTTTAAAATTTGATATGCAGCTTAAAAGATTAAAACGGATGTAAATATTCTGCAATATAATTCTGCAATAAAAGGTCTGTGGAAGATGAGAAGTGCTTGCCCACTCCACAACCGCTGATTTCAGGAGGGGTGTTGAAAGACCTGAGTCAGATTGAGGTAATGAGAGAGGAGGTCCTACAACTGATAGACAACTTAAAAACTGATAAATCACAAGGCCCAGATGGCATACATCCGAGAGTTCTGAAAGAACTCAAATGTGAACTTGTGGATCTCC